TATATATATATATATTAAATAATGAAATATAATAAATTGTAATATTTAAGTAAATAATACATAATAATGACACTATGCAAAATAATTAAATAGTAATATGTGTAAATAATAAATAATACTGGTAATATAAAAATTATAATATATAAAATAAAAATACATAATATTGCATTATAATAGAATACTGTAATATAACATATATAATAATAATAATATTAATTGTATGTAAATAATAAAAGATATTGATAATATAATATAATATTGACAGTTATTGAACTAAACTGAATCAATATTGATCTGAATAATGTCACTATTGTTTTCTGTAGGGCTGCTTTACAGCTGAAGTTGAACGAGTTTCATAATTGATGAATTTTACAGCATTAACACTGTTATGTTTTGCTTAGAATCAGTCTGTATTGTATAAAGCGCTGAGCTCACCTGTCACTGTGTTGTTTGGCTGGTGTGGATGAAGAGCTTACAGCAGAAAACGACCTGCGAGAAACGACACACAGACAGAGCAGGTGTTAATGAAGTCACGTGATCCCTGAAACCGCTGTGACGTCAGACGCTGTTCACCTAAAGCTTAAACATCAAAATCACAACCATAACGTGACGCATTCACACTGCAGACAGAATATCAGGTGCCCAGTGAATCAGTGAGGAGTGAATCAGCAGGTAAATTCTGGCTGGCCTCGGTGGGGTCAGAGACACGCGTGAGCAGGTGCATCATGGGATACGCGCAGCTGAAGCGTCTACCTGCTGCTCTTCTGAGCCGCGTTCTCCTCCTGCTCCTCCAGATCGTAGGAGAACAGGAAGAAGGGCGAGTGCATCAGGTACGGCAGGTGGGCGGAGCCTCGCAGCGGAGGGCTGATCTCATTGAATGGTGGCACGCTGACGGACGAGCGGCGGTGTGCCAGCAGACTGGCCAGGAGCGACGGGTGGGCGGAGTCAGGAGGGGGCGGGGCCTCTGTGGCCTTCCTCTGCTCCTCCTCCTCCTCCTCAGGTGTGTGTTTGCTGCTGTGATCTGATGTGCTGAAGAACAGCATCATGGGTAAAATACACAGGGACTCGTGTTTGCTTTCTGTTGTACGCTCCTCTGGAGACGGCGTTAAATCCAACCCCGCCACAAACATGCTAATCATGTCTGATCAAAAACACCTTTGAGTTGTCCTGTTAACTAATAAGGTAAATAATATTGATGATGTATAATATAATAATACAATAAATAATACTTAAAACTGATAATATACAGTATAAAACAATATAAATAAATGTATATCTAAAGAATTTATTAAATAATAATAATTTAACAATATATATGTAAATGAAACATAATACTGATAATATATAAAATAATATAGTAATTAACTATAATATATATGTAAATACATAAAATTATAATTTAACAATATATGTACATTAATATACGTAAATAATACATAATACCAATAATATATAAAATAATACGGTAAATAACAATAATATATGTAAATAATGCATAAAATATAAATATACATATAAATTATACATAATCTGATCATATATGAAATAATAATATAATAAAATATGTAAATAATACATATTAAACTGATAGTATAAATAAAATATTAAACTGATACTATAAATAAAAATAAATAAATCTTAGTGCTGCGTTCGACACTATAGATCATGACATACTCATAGATCGATTACAAAACTATACAGGTATTCAAG